TCCCCACCTGGTGTGGGCTGAGGCACCCCTGGAGACTACAGCACAGCTTACCTCGTCTCTGCCCACTCCTGCCTCCTTCCCCCTTCCACAGGTGTGATGCCACAAGCACTTAACGAACCTGCTGCACACTAATTTCCAACTCAGTTGGCTTCCTAGAGAAGCCAACCTGCAACAAATGGCACCATTTTTAATGTTCACCATTAAATGAAACACAGGTCAGGCTGTGTGAACAGTGCCTGACACATAGTAGGCCTTCAACACATGAGAGATGGTGTCCTAGGGAATCCTAGGGGCTTATAGAAACTTCAGTATTATACATACCTTCTGTATGTTGGGTGAGAAAGATAATTTCTGAAGCATAGAACATAGAAAGCAGTCGTTTTAAATGTATTAATATGCTCAATTCCACTAAAAATTAAAGTCAGCGCCACAATCCAAATATTTACTATATTGATTGTATCCCTATTTTAAACTGATTATAAAAGGCATAAAAACTTCAGAATTCTAACTGCATCTGAAAAATAAAGGAACAAATGCTAAATATGACATTTTAAAATTGTGGTATACTAATTTTTACCAAGGAACAGTAGGGGTCACTCATGTACCAAGAAAAGCCCAAAAGTCCTCATAAATTTTGGGAGTGAATTTAAAGTGCTTCCTAATAAACCAAATCCCTTTTCAGCTCAACATTCTATTTATTAAATCACAGAATCTCAGGCTCATAAGATTTAAAATTACCTTCACCGTAAAAGATCACATCAAAACAAGACCATGTGATTCCTTTCATGAGTACAATTAGAAATTAAACTTTGTGCATAATTCAATCATGCTTAGATATTAAACACATAAATTTTTTAATGTTTCCTACATGACACAACCATTTAACTCCAGCTAAGTGTTATTTTTCTAACGTAACATAAAATACAGCGAGTGCTCAGAAAACGCCATTTCATTCAACGTTTTTTTATCATGACACTGATGAGGGTAGAATAAATGGATTCCTGGCCACAGCGACTACTCCACCTGTGTGGAGTTTGCTAATTCTCCCCATGTCTGCATGGTGCTCTGGTTCCCTCCCACATCCCAAAGATGTGCAAATTAGATTTACTGGCACATCCAAATTGTTTTGCGTCTGAGTGGGTTTGAGTGTAAGTGTAAGTGCGCCCTGTGACAGAATGGTGTCCTGTCCAGGCTGGTTCCCACCTTTTGCCCTGAGCTACTGGGACAGGCTCCAGCCACTATTCCCTGAACTGGCATAAGGGGGCAATTATCTTGTTTGTTTTTATTAATCTTTCTTAAATGTATGTAGAGTTCATATTTATTTCAATGTTTAATATTAGAAATGCTTTGGTATTTCTTTAGAAGTTTGGTGATGTTTTTTGACCAGAAATATGCCATAGGAACTTAACTCTTATTTATAGCAATTAGCCTATGGTAAAATTAGTTTCCTTACATGTTGTATCACTTAAAGTCACAGTTTTCAAGAATGTCGATGACATTAAGGGAGAGCTTACTGTACATATGCTAATATTCAAATCAAACCAAGGCTGAATTTAGCACGGTGTCATGTTTGAAGTTCAAGAAAATAGCAGAAAACAGCCAAGTATGGAAAGAGCCGAGCACAGATCGGTGAACTGATTTCATCTAAGCAATTACAGAGATGGGAAGTAACACGCGTGTTGTGCTTGCAGAGGACGCACAACAAACATGAGATGTGTTTTAATTCCTTGCCAGCAAGATTAATGCAACCTAGTAAGACAAACAGCAATAGCTCTACCACAAAGAAGAAGGTGAATGAAAAGTGCTGTAACGTGCTGGGAAATCTGGAAACAGCACAGCTTCCTTCCAGCTGCAAGACATTAGGAAAGAATTTATGGAGATTACATTTGAGCTGCACTTTGGGTAGATTTGGGCCATGTGGAAATAGATAATAGAACTTTCTCAGGTACGTAGAAAAGAATGACAAGTACAAAGCTATGTAGGGAAACAGCAAGTAGTTCAGGCAGTCAGGCTAATCAAACCAGTTGTGGCTCATTTTTCAAACCCCATAAAGTCAAGCAATTAACCCACTACCTTTATTGTTTACTGATTTGTTTAAAAAGTTACTTTTTTCTCAACTTTAGAATGACTCCATATGTGGTTCACAAGTATCAACTTATGAATAAAAAGACAGGAGTGGTGTGCAATGTATTAATTCAAACATACTTAGAGGGTTGATTTATGATAATTTATAATTAAATCTAGTCATTAGAATAATGAAAACTGTGAAACAATAATAATTCATTGTTCTTTAACATGATAAATGGACATAAACCTTCCAATTATGTGATTATAACCGTTAGGGATCATGTTGGGCTATGGTCAATAATCAGAATAAACAAGAAATATACTCTATGTCGTTGTTAATTTACCAGATCATTTAAATAATCAAAAAAAATCATAAAAATGGGATAAAGTGACTTTTGGCTATGGCTGCTTGAAGAACATCAGAGAAATGTTATCCTGAAAAATTGAGTATAAAACTGGACGAAATAGTCAAAACTAAACATATTTCAATGGTAACAGACATCCGCTAAAGATAAACAACAAATTGAGAGGCAGTTACTCAAGAGGAACTGCTAGAACTTCAGGTAAGAACTTCAGGAGTGTTTAGACCTCCCCACTTCCCCAGAGAAGTCTGACCAGGGCAGGGCTGGCAGGGAAAGCCAGCAGCTTTGCTGGCAGAGGGAACTGACTTGATCTGGAACCCATACCCAAGCAGCACTATTAGTAAAAATACCAAATTCAGTAGAAAACAAATGGGAAAACCTACATGTTTGCTGGCATGAGGCTGCTTTTTCCCATTTGGGTATATTAGCTTTCTACTGCTGTTGTAACAAATTACCACAAACTTGGTGGCTTGGAACAACACAAATTTGTTATCTTACCATTCTGTATTTCAAAAGTCCCATATGGGTCTCATGGGTAAAATCAAGGCGTTGCAGGGATGTGTTCCTACCAGGGGCTCTAGGGGAGAATTCATTTCCTTGCTTTTCCAGCTTGTAGAGGCTGTCCACATTCCTTAGCTCACAGCTCCCCTGCCTCCCTGCAGTTTCTAAGCCAGAAACACTGCATCTCTCTGACAATTCTCTCACAGGCATGTTTCCCCCAGATTCTTCGGTCTCCCTCTTATACTTTTAAAAATGCTTGTGATTATATTGGGCTCACCCAGATAATCCAAAATAATTTTATTTTAAACGCAGCCGATTAGCAGCCTCCCTTTGATCTGCAACTTTAATTTCCCCTTACCATGTAACCTAACATACTCACGGTTTTCAGGAATTAGGACATGAACATCTTTGGTGAGCCATCATTCTGCCTACTGCATAGGGCAAATAGCAACAGCCTGAAATTTGACAACCCTGGAAATGAAAGACCCAGAGAAAGAGTAGATTAAGCTTCTCAGGGACCTACCACTGCTGGGAAACTCCACACTTATGCAACAGAAAGGAGAGAAGGCCCTGCAGGAAGTCAGAGCAGAGGCACAAGTGAGAAATGCCCAAACTTTGAAAGCACTCCCCCAATTGACACACAGATCCACAAGCAGAGCGCAGAAGTCCCGTGGGATTCAGTATTTGAGCCCATTGCTACCCAAATACTGGCTGACTGCTAAGCTATGCAGATGCAGGGGTGAACCTTAAAAAAACTATGCTAAAAAATTACAAATTCTTTTTAAAAACTGAGCAGAGATATCAGCTAGCCAGGCTCATTCCAGATTCTACAGATTAAGGACAGGCCAGTTAATAAATTTAACAAAATATGTACAAGATCTGTATATTGAAAACTTCAAAACACTGCTGAGAGAAAGAAGATTTAAATAAATGAAGAGGTACTTCATATTCATGGGGATTAGAAAACTCAATATTGTTAAGATGGCAAATTTCCCCAAATTGAGCTACAGATTCAAGACAACACAATCTCTATCAAAATTGAAATAGGCATTCTTATAGAAATTTACAAAATGATCCTAAAATTTATATGGACATACATAGGACTGAGAATAACCAAAGTAATTTTTTTGGGGGGAGGCCAGGAATGCTGTGTTGAAACAAGGTAATTTTTAAAAAGAAGATCATAGTTGCAGAACTTACACTACCAAAAATCACAGCTTAATTATAAAGCTACTATAATAAATTGGTATAAGGGTAGACATATAAATCAAGCAAGAGAAGAGAAAATCCAGAAATAAACCCTTACATTTATGGTCAACTGATCTGCAACAAAGGCACCAGGGCAACACAATGCAGAAAGATAAACTTTTCAATAAATAGTGAATAGATAACAAAGTGTGTTATATATCCATACAATGCAATATTATTCAGCCATAAAAAGGGTCAAACTACTGACACCATGCTACAACATGGATGAACCTCAACATTAGGCTAAATTAAAGAAGCCAGACACAAAAGTTTATATGCTTCCATTTATAAGAAATTTCTAGGAAAAGCAAATATCTAGAGACAGCAAATGATTCAGTGGTAGCCCACGGCTTGAGATGGGAACAGGGAATGAATGTAAACAGGCATGAGGACACTTTCTGGGGTGATAGAAATGCTCTAAAACTGGATTGTGGAGATTGCTGCACAACCAGGTTAAATGTATAAAAATCATTAAAATGCACACTTACAATGGGTGAATTTTATACAATGCAAATTATACCTCAATAAAGCTATTTTTCTTCTTTAAAAAAAGGAATAATCAGGAGTTCCCCATCTCTGGAGTACACAAGCAGAGACTCAATGACCTCCTATCAGGGATGCCATGGAGTGGGAGTATCCATGAGACCTTAGTATTTGACCTCACTGTCCAACTCTAAGATCTTGTGGCCTTTTGGACTCAAAATGTTGGAGTATACACTTTTTTGAGGCTTTCTCCAGTTGCCAGTCAGACGGTTGTAATACAGAAAACATTGGTGAATGCTCTTCTAAATATTTCACTTGCAAACATGCAACAATTTTCACCTTTCGTCCTGTAAAGGCAGCTCGATGAAGTGGCGTGTCTCCCATGTCATTTAACACATTCACTTCTGCACCAGCCTAGTAAACATGAACACTTTAAATATCTTCCACATACTAGGAAATATACAAAGGTGAAAATAATTCCTTAAAAATATGTTAAGTATTTCAAAAATTAAGGTAATCATTAATACCATTTGGTTGTCACTACTAAAAACAAATGTAATTGGTGGTAAAAGTAAAAAGCTGGGTGTGGTGGCATGCACCTGCAGTCCCAGCTATTCAGAAGGTGGGAGGGTTGCTTGAGACCAGGAGTTAGAGGCCAAGCTGAGCAACATAGCAAGACCCCATCTCTAAAAATTAATAATAACAATAATAAAGGTAAATAGGAGGTTTCCTGAAAGGTAAAAATCTACCTGGTAGGTAGAAGAATAAAAAGTAAAAAAGCACTTTTCTTTAAAAATTTATACAACTTCTCTCTACTTTAGAAGCAGTAATATTTTGAAAAAAGAAAACTATCTCTGAATAAAATACCCTATTTCCTCCACCATCAATTTAATAAGTTTTCAGGGAAAAAAAAAAGATGCCACCATTTAAGTATACAGATGAATTGTAAGATGCAACCCAATTCCAGAAATATCAATGTGAAAAGTTATTCATCATAGAACTGAGAAACAAGAGGTCTCAATTCTCATTAAGTACAGTGCTAAGAGATTCTGACATTATTTCTAATTATTTAGGATATGCTTTGGTTATTTTTTCAACTGTCATGTTCATAAAACTGAAAATAATATCTTCATTAATATACCTACTTTTTCAATTTTAAAGGGCCAATAATGTAAAATCTAATGACTAAAAATACAATTTTAATTAATTAGCTTAACTTAAATTATGTATTTAATAAAACAATTAAGTGTCTTTAGTGATGAGTTATTGCTTTAAATAAGCCATCATGGCTCAGTTGGCTTTTCTAACACTTTTATAATTTCCATAATAACAATATTTATTATAGTCATTAAAAAATTAAAGCCATAAATAGACCTGCAACAGATCCTGGACCACTTGTCTATGTCCAAAATAGCATGCCAGATGAAGAGGTGTCCAGCCCAAATTAGACTTACTTCTTCCTAAAAATGGAAAAAGATAATTTTAGATGATATTTAGGTAATTTTACAATAAAATTAACTTCTCCCTAACAAGCTACTTCAACACTGTGGCCAATGGCTCTCCTTCACGCTGCACTGCTGACGACTGAGAAGAGACAGGACACTAAGAAGCGGAAGTGTAACAGCAGTCACAGACAGATCAGAACTCACAAGATCCAAATCTGACGTTGCTGTTCTGACTCAACATCCTCACCCCTAAGAGGGTGAAGGGAGACACGACAGAGATCACAGTTGAACGAGATGATCTCTAGCAGCTTGCCGGCTCTAAGGCTCCGAGTCTTTAACTATCTCGCTATCAACAAGCAAAGACGTGGTTCTCTTGGCATAACATTCCATCTCTCTCTGAAAGCCTGTGCCATGTAAGGAGCCAGTACCTTCATCAATAGGTAGAAGAATAAAAAGTTAAATGGTACTTTTCTCTAAAAGTCTATACGTCTTCTCTCTACTTCAGAAGCGGTCATATTTTAAAAAAGAACTATCTCTGAATGAAATACTATTTTCCTCCACCATTGATTTGGTAAATTTTCAGGGGAAAAAAAGATGCCACCATTTAAATATACAGGTGAACTGTATATTTAAGTACAGAATATTTCCTGCAGCATTTGGTAAGCTGCTGGCTTTACAGTCACTGGAAGTGGAGTCTCCGGCTTCAGATAAAATCTCAGTTAATGAAGACAGTGGATTACCAGAGTGAGAGAGAGTCCAACTGGACCAGAACCAAAGTTAAAAGTAATGAAATGTCAGATCCTCGCAGCAGAGCTGAGAAAGGTATAAAGCAATTGAGGGCTGCAGAAACTAAAACTATATAATTCAACTTAGCAAAAAACATACAGGGCACTATTCAGAGATGAGATGGCTCCAAAAGCTAACCAACGTTCCAAATCAGGCCGCAGAGAATACAGCCCTATCAAATATCCCAAAGTCCACCACCCTGAGGGTCTGTCAGTGCCCAGGAGCCTGCTGCTCCCAGGGGCAGCTCCAGAGGGGCTTGTGCTTTAGCAGCTAAAACCAACTGCAGCACCTCACTGACAGTCTGCACTGCCCTCAGCGCCTAGATTTCAGGTTCGCAACCAACAGAAAGCTCAGCCACCAACCTCAGCATACCCACAGCAGGCCTATAACAACCCTCCAAGGGACAGCAGCTGCCAGCAGTGTCCCTGGGATTGCTTACCATTAACTCAAACCCCTACATCTGCTTCCTCTCAAGTGTGTGCCCTCTGGAATCCCTAATTACACAGTCGATAAATCCTACTTCACTGAACGTATCTTTTGCCTTCTGTCCTCAAGTGAAACCTCGCTCTTCCTCAGGTGGAGGCCCCATCCCCACATGCCCCCTGTACCTCACCAAACAGAAGCTGTGTGGACACTCACCCCTCTGCTGCCTGGGCTCAGCGCCCTCTTGGCACCCTTCACAGCCCCGCCTTTGAGGCACCGTGGCCAAGCCACAGCTCCCTTGGAGGCCTGCTCTGCTGCCATCCGCCAGCGGCTCACCCCTCACCAAATAACTCTGGGCAACACAGTCTTTCTCTTCTGCAAATCCTGCCACCATCCTGGGGGGTCTACTGCCTATTCAGCACCCAGGTCTCTCAGCTTCCCTCGTTCCTCACAGAGCCAGAGCACCATCATTGTCCATGGGCGCACAAACACAGGAGGAAGCCACTTTGCCACACTCCCAACTTTCCAGCCTGTCCACGAAGGCAGAGCCCAGACCTGTTCTTCAACTTAATCAGCCCCTCACCTCTTTAATCACTTTCCGTGTATGTAAACATCCCCCATTTTCAATTCCTTCAATAAATCCAGTGTCTATTCCTTGATCACTCGCTTCAACATTTCTTTGTCAATATCCCCAATATCCTTACTTCACTATCCCTGTCACAGCAGCCTAGAAATACCTCAAAGCCTGACAAATACACTAGCCCATTTTCTCTATAAACATACTCAGGCTGCTAACCAATGGTGAAGAAAAATAGAAAAGCCCTGTGGACGTATGGCACCATAAAGTCCGGATCCCACACTTTAGCTAGAAACCCTTTTATAAGGCCCTGTTCAGGGGTCTGTCCTTTATTCCACAACAGGCATTTTTTTTTTTTAAAAAAGACAGTGTCGGCCGGGCGCAGTGGCTCACGCCTGTAATCCTAGCTCTCTGGGAGGCCGAGGCGGGCGGATTGTTTGAGCTCAGGAGTTCGAAACCAGCCTGAGCAAGAGCGAGACCCCGTCTCTACTAAAATTAGAAAGAAATTAATTGGACAACTAAAAATACATAGAAAAAATTAGCCGGGCCTGGTGGCGCATGCCTGTAGTCCCAGCTACTCGGGAGGCTGAGGCAGAAGGATTGCTTGAGCCCACGAGTTTGAGGTTGCTGTGAGCTAGGATGACGCCACGGCACTCTAGCCTGGGCAACACAGTGAGACTCTGTCTCAAAAAAAAAAGACAGTGTCTCACTCTGTTGCCTAGGCTAGAGGTGCAGTGGCATCATCATAGCTCACTGCAGCCTCAAACTCCTGGGCTCAAGTGATCCTCTTACCTTACTTCCAAGTAGCTGGGAATACAGAAACATACCACCACACCTAGCTACTTTTTGTAGAGACAGGTTGCCACTACATTGCCTAGGCTGGTCTCACACTCATGGCCTCAAGCAATCCTCCTGCCTCAGCCTCCCAAAGTGCTAGGATTACAGGCATGAGCCACCATGTCCGGCCCTGCAACAGGTATTTCAATCCTTCATTATTCCCCTGAAGCCTTTTATCCAGACACCTCTCCCTTAGCAAAGACATCTTTTGGCTTCACAGGGAAAACAGAAGCTTTCACAGAATTCCCTAGGCTTTCTGGCACCAAATCTACCATCCTACCTATACCGGCATGTGCTCTGCCAGCCTTCCTTCCTGATGTCCAAGACTAATGCTTCTTCCCAAATCCTGATCCCATCCTTCAAGCTTCTCAGGCCCTCCTTTTTTCCCAATCTTCAACTCTCCCCCTTTAGTTGCTAACAGGAAGGAGAAAGTAAACACTCCTGTCTCTCTCATCTAACAAGTGAAAACAAAGGAAACACTCCCTGAGCTGCTCCCTCCCTACCAGTAACTATCTTCACTCTCCCTTCCCACTACCTCCTTCCTTCCCATCAACTGCCCACCACAGCAGACCAGGCTTATCTCCCACCATGTCAGCAACACTGTTCTCGACTTTTATCAATAAATGCTGATGCTGTCACTGAACCCCAGGGGCACCTTTCAGCTACCACCTCACCGCATCCCTGGAAAGCTCAGTTCATTCCTCCCCAGTGGCCACAGCCCTGCACCCTACAGATTCTCTCACTTCTGGGCATTAATTCTCAGAGTCCTTTGGAAGCTCTATTTTCTCTGACTAGTCCATTGTTGGTAACTTCGAAAATGTATTTCCTAGCCCTCTCCCACTGCTTTAATTATTTCTATGCTACTGACTTCAAAATCTATATTTCCAACTCTCCACTAGACACTTCCACTGGGACAGTGCTCAGAAAGCACAAAGCTAATCTCATCTTTCAACCATCCGCCCCCAACACACACACGAACCACCTGCTCCCCTCCCACATTTGTCTTCAAAATCAGCTGCCCCATTCTTCACCTCCTTTCTCATGCCACACATCAGCAGCAACCTTCCTATTGTCTCCTTTCGCCTCCACACTCCAATTGGGTCTACTGACTATCTTCTAAATGTTAATTACATCTCCCTTCTCCATTCCCACTGCTTCTGCCCCAATCCAACCCACAGTGCCTCCTCTAACTTCCCAGGACAGCTTCTGAACTGGCATTCTCACAGCTAGTGCTTCCAAATAGGATTCTGGAGCAAGAAGTCAAAATTTCCAAGATCCTAAATTATTCTTAAAATACTTCAAACACTCTTTACTACTTATGGATATCTAAGAAACTGTGTTCAGTGAATAAGAAATATCAAGTTTTGGAGTATTTACAAAGAACTGTATCCTATACAGATATTAAAACACTGGAAAACACTGGCAGGTATTATCAGGGAATATTTGAATAACATCACATTTGGACTCCTAGCAAAGCAACAGCACTACACAGGATCACATGCTGAGACTAACGATGTAAGTATTTTGCTTCCAAAACTTACTATGTCTTGGAACATCACTCATAGAACTTACATAAAGTACACTATGAACATAAATACTAATATTTTATTTGCAAGAATGATTCGCATTAGCAAGAGACAGGACCATGAGCACACACTTATCACATGGCAATGCTACCAGCAAAACTAATTAGATCCTCCTTTCCTAGACGCTAGAAACGCTGACCTGCACTTTCCACTCTGTATGTCAGTGCTTCTTTCACTTTTGAATCACTGGATTCCTTCCAACCAGTAACATCTCTATGTTGACTGTTGATCTTTACTTTGTACCATTTTCCCCAATTTCTTGGGATTTGGAAAAACAAATAAGAAAGAAAAGGAAATCAAGAAATGCCAGGCAGGTGGTCCGGAGTCCTTGTACGCCTGCTCTCAGCCTAGCCCAGCATCGCCATGGTGGATGCCTTTCTGAGCACTGGAGACTAGTGGACAGCAAGAATTTCAATGACCACATGAAGTCAATCAGTGTGGGTTCTGTCACCAGGCAGGTGGCCAGCATGACTACCATAATCATTGAAAAGAGCAAGGACACTAAAAACACAGAGCACCTTCAAGAACATGGAGATCAGCTTAAAGCTGGGGGTGTTCAATGAGACGAGAGCAGATGACAGGAAGTTCAGGCCCACCGTGACACTGGGCAGTGGCAAACTCATCCACCTGCAGAAATGGGACAGGCAAGAGACGACACTTGTGCTGGAGCTAAGTGATGGGAAACTCGCCATGACACTCACCATGTGCAGTGCGGTGAGTGAACAGTGTGGTGAGCACTCGCATTTAGGAGAAAAGTGCAGGACCTGCTCACACCATCTCTGCTCCTCTGCAAATCAGCTAACCCTCACCTCAGCACCACAGTGCCTCACTTTTTGCTCCACATTTTGTATAAATCCACCTTGGTTGGGGGATTCTTCTGGGATAAGGTGCCATGGGGGGCCTGGAACCAGTTTTCCAGTTCCCGTTCCCATTGTGTAGGTGGTTTGTTTTTGTTAGTGTCTTTTTGAGACAGTGTTGCTCTGTCACCCCAGGTAGAGGGCAGTGGAGTGTTCATAGCTCACTACAACCTCAAACTCCTGGGCTCAAGAGATCCTCCTGCCTCAGCTTCCCAAGTAGCTGGGACTATAGAAATGTGCCACCACTCCCAGCTAATTTTTCTATTTTTTTGTAGAGATGGGGTCTTGCTCTTGCTCAGGCTAGTCTATAACTTCTGGCCTCAAGAGACCCACCACCCCCTACTACCCTCATCCTGCCTCCCCCATAGCCAAGTTGTTTTCTGTAACTGCATTCAAAGTGTGCTCTGAGGTCAATAAAGCAAAGTCAAGGAAAAGAAAAAAGGGAAAGGAAAGGAATGCCAGGAAGGAATTCCCACAGGGAGCAAGGAAATGCTACTCACACCCACTCCTGCCCACCCCTCCCCACTCCCCAAGGCCGACAACTGCACTTCATCTGACTGTGTCATCTCTACACAAACCCTTCCAACTGCCCTTAAAACAAAGCTGACAGATATAATGAGGTGAAACTTTGAAAAACCATTAACATACTTCTCTGTTTTACATTTCCAAGTAGATGACTTTCTGCTAATCAGCCTGAGACAATCATGGGTGAGGATTAGCAAATGTTTTTGGCATTCAAAACAAAACCCTGAGGATGGGGAGAAATTTTTAAATTCCTTTAACCAACTCGGACGGTAGCCTCTAGACAATCCAAATCATAGTTTCTACAAGATAATACTCTTTCCACACTGAGGGTGAAGTCATGAGGTTTGCTGCTCTGGGACAGGAGGAGAAAGTGACAAAAGGGATAAAGTATGCATCTGAAGCCTGTCCTTTCTGGGCCAGAGGGACATGGGACAGAAAAAGACAGAGATGAGACGTGGCTCTTGATCTTAATCCTGGAAGTGAGGTGAACTGAGGGGACACCAAGAAGAGGCAGGCTGCTTCTGGCTGCTAGGAAAAGATCCCTGATCAGGCCACCTACCTGAGCACCCACTGGCAAGGTGTCACAGCAAAGCAAATTCTATAGTGCAGCCTGAGGGAAGGCAGCATTCTGGCTAACCGGAGCTGCTCTAGGCTCCCAGGTGTCACTAAGTCCCTACATGCCACCTTCCCAAGAGGGTTAGGAGTGTGGCTGAGCTGGCCAGCAAGCCTAGGCCAGATACCTGATGAAGATGTGAGAGAGGCTCAGGGTGACGCCACACAACAAGAGCACAGTGAGTCTCCCGAGATGGCCAAGCAGCACCACCTGGGCTATGCGACAAACTGAGAGACCCAAGTTTGACTCTGGACCCGAGTTTCACTTCAGCCACAAATGTTTGAGGAGCACCAGGAAGACAAGGGTCACCAGGGAACCAGAGGCTGCCTCCTGGATTTGAGGACACCTCGCCTCCACCACACAGACACAGCAAGGTTCACCTCCGAACTTAATGCCAATTTAGAGGAAATACGGGGCGGGGAGACCAAGCACATATCAAAAGGGCTACCGAGACTGGGGTACCCAAATCTAAGGTTTAGTCCCCCCCCACCTTCTAGAACATGAAGAGGCTTGTTAAAACACCAGAGCCATTTTAGAGAATACATTTTATTTCTCTGCACATCAGAGTGCAAGGCAGTGATATATTTGCAGCCTTGCTACACAAGGCACGTGATGATTTGGCTGCTATGCCCACCTGGCCTTGACCCTCACGCCTCCCCCAGCCATCTCTGCTGCCTCTCACCTCAGGCCTCAGCACATTGTTCTTCTGCCTCAAGTCCTTTTCTTCTCTGTGTTCATCTGGTTAACTCCTATACACTCTCACATTTCACCTTAGAATCATTTCCTCCAAGAAGGTAATCAATCCTTCAAGTTCCAGCTACATTCCTCTCCATCTGGTCCCATGACACTAGCCCTTCCATACCCTGTTGCATATTTTGTAATGTAGACTACTCTGGTCCATTAAATCCAGTAGACCAATCCCAATGACGGCAGGGATCTTGTCTCTTCCTCATTATCTCCAAGGTTCCTTACATGCTGGGCATACAGTTAACACTTAAACCTGCTAGGTCAACTGCAATGTCTTGAAGAAAAAACATATCGATGAATGCATCCTGTGTGTTAGGGTCACCCTTGTAGCTTGTAAGGTTTAGGATTCATTAACAGTTTTAAGAACGGATCTCAGAGCAGAGGGGACTAGGACAGACATTTCACGCAATCTTGTAGAGGTTCTTCCTAAAATAAGGGACAGAGATGTATTATATGCCAGATGAGAGAGGTTAGTGTTAAATAAATGATAGTGTGGTGCTGACTCATACGAGAAAGCTAAAAAATTCACCCAACGCTTACCTTTGCAATTAATGTCAGCAATCCCTTCGTTCCTCTCCATACTTTCTAACAGTTGTCTCACTTCTTCAGCGTTACCATTTCTGGCATGATGGAGAAGCTGTTGTTCTGCTTCTGTGTTCATTTCTAGATTACAAAAACAATAACATGGCTGTTATCTAAGAACATAATTAGCTTTTAGATGCCACCTTCTAATACAGAAAGGGGAAAGAATCATCTTCATTTTATAGCTAATAAGATAGACAGACACCAGACACAAGAATCAGCGGCAGGGCCAGAACTCAACCCCGAGACCCCTTGTACCAGGTATTACTACCAAAGGAGGGCGCTAGACACTGGGCAAGTGTCTTCACTTCTCAATGCCTTAGTTTCCTTATCTACAGAATACAACCAACCTCATGAGCTGTTGTAAGATTATGTATACGAAATCATTCTGTCAACTACATAGTAGTATGTAATTAATTATTACAACATTAAAAACTAGACATAAAGTTAAAATATGGCCATTCATATAGAAATATAAGACTGAAATGTAAATTAACTCATTGAAAAACTATGCAAAAAACTATTCTAAATAGAAAAAAAATAAATTATAGATAAAGACCCTGGAGTGACTATACTTAAGTTTCTTTTTTCTCTCAATTTTCTTACCAAGCCCAAAACTAAATTTTTTGGATTATAACCAAATACTAAGCATTTATGTCAAAATGGGAAAATGTTATGAATAGCAATTCCCAAGAGAAATATAAATTTCATTCTCACTAATAATCAAATAAATGAAACACAAATGATTTTTTTTGCCCACTAGCTTACCAAAACATAAAAAAAAAAAGATTAGGTATACCCAATGCTGGCATGGACAGGAAATGTGTACTCCTATAAACTGCTATCATGAATATAAACAAATACAATCTTTCATATGTTGCAGAGGGAGAGGCAAAAATTTGGCAATATCAAATAAACTTCAAAATACAAACACACCATTTACTTTGTCCTGGCAATTCTATTTCTAGGAATGTATCCTGCAGAAACATTTGCACAAGATTATTTTAGAAGCATATTCGTAAGGGTTGCATTATTTGCAATAGTGGAAAAGTTAGAAATAAGTCCATGTCATCAATAGGGGACTGGTTAAATATACCTTCAAGAGAGGCTGAAAGGGATGCAGGCTGGCAGATGGAGGGCAGAGCTAAAGGAAACCATTTCAAAAAAGAGCAGCCTATGCAGAGTGAACAACAGGACCCTCAGCCCTCTTCCTCTAAGCAGCATCCGTAATGCTGGCAAGGCTTTACCCTCCAGGAAAAGACTTAGCTAGTTATGTTCCCTAAAGCAGAATATATTCCAAGAAGAGAGATGCCAGGACCTTGCAGCAAGCAGCTGAGCCAGATGAACCTTATAGCGAAGTTAGTAGTCAATAGGGCCCACCCACTCTCTCAGTTTTCAATCAGTTTTCTACTTCCCCACTCTTAAACATGAAAGACAGAGACCAAAACCAAACAAGGAAGAAAAACAACCTGGAGAAAACAAAGTATTCAAAGAAGGCCACACATGGTGGCTCACACATGTAACTAGCACTTTGGGAGGCTGAGGTAGGAAGATCACTTGAGGCAAGGAGCTTAAGACCACCCTGGGCAACATAGCAAGACCCCTGTCTCTACCAAAAAAAAAAACACACACAGAGTATTCAAAGAAAAGGTTAAAAAATAAAATCTAATATCCTTAGCGAATAAAAGACATTCTATCCTATAACAAAAACAAGATGCAATTCTAAAAAATAAAATTGCAAAAAAAAAAAAAAAGACTTTGGAAATTAAAAATGAAGCCAGATGCAGTGGCTCACGCCTGTAATGTGGCTCACTTTGGGAGCCTGAAGTGAGAGGATCACTTGAGTCCAGGAATTCAAGGCTGCAGTGAGCTATGATCATGCCACTGCACTCCAGCCTGAGTGGCAGAGTAAGACTGTCTCTAAAAAAATAAATAAATAAAACAATGTTTAAAAATGATAGCAAAAATTAAAACTTCAAGAGAAGAGTTGGAAAATAAAGTTGAAAATATCTCCTAGAAAATGAAGCTGTTAAGGAAAAAAACACAGGAGAAAAAATGTGAGTGTTGAGAGGATTGGTCCAAGAGGTCAAACATCCAAACAACAGAAGTCCTAGACAAGGTAAACAGAGAGGGAGAAATTAAATAATTCAAGAAAACTCTCCAGAATTAAAAGGGCCAATGACAGCCCAACAATTATGGAAAATTTCTGGCCCACTTACAAAAGAGAACCCACAAAAACACATTATCATGAAATTTTAGAATTTAGGAGACAAAGAAGATTCTATAAGCTTCCAGGGAAGAAAGTATTAGGTAATAAACAAAACAGCAGGACTCAGAGTGATTTTGACTTCTCAATTACAGCATAAACAGCTAAAAGATTATAATGCAATGCCCAAAAGTTCTGGAGGAAAATTATTTCCAACCCCAAATTCTCTAACTAGACAATCAAAAGTAGGGGTAGAATAAAGACATTTTTAGACATACAAGGACGCACAAACTTACTTCCCCACACATCATCTCTCAGGAAATTTCTGGAGAATGTAGTTTCATAACACATAAACCAAGAAAGACGACGACATGAGAAACAGGAAATTAGCACAGAGAATCCCCAGAGTGAAGAGAAATCTCTGAAATTTAGCTGTGTGCCTGGCCAAGCTCTTATCCATACTTGGTTTGTCTGGCCTGTGCACTAGGCACATTCATGCCCTCCATGTTCTGCTGCCTGGTGAGCTGAGGGTCCTAATTCTACCCCTCAGAAATGTTCTGCTTCCACCATACCTAAGAACTAGAGCTGGGCCTCTGCAAGCCCAGAAGCAGCAAATGAAGAGCAGCTGACTCCCCTAATAAATTCCTGTCACCCAGAGGCCCAGACCTGTCCCTATTACAGCCCTACCAAACAACCAAACTGGGTAAGGCCTGTTCCCAGTGCTTACCCAAGGTCTTGCTCACTGACTTCCCTTTGAAGGAGGTCTTATAAACTGAGGGAAGCCAAACCCAGACTCTGACCATCAAAAAAAAAAATTATTCAATGATACTCATTTAAACATGGTGAGGATGATTTATTCAGGACACTGTGATAGTTACAGAAACCACTACCACGGGGTTTTGGAGTGGGGAAGAGAGATGGGCTCAACTCCAAATACAGGGTGGGCAAGTGGGAACTCAAAGCCAAGGATCAGGGTGGGGGTCAGTGGGTAGAAAATTACTAAGGGGCAATGTCAAGGATAGGGGGGATTCTGGTTAAACCAACTTAACAGGATTCTTGTGAAGACAGGCCAGGGTGACCAGACATCACCCGGGGGGAGGGTGGAGCATGAGGAACCTGGGCAGGTATAGAGGGTGATCAGATACTGAGAATGCGAGGTTCTTGCTGAAACTGGATTTTACAAGAAAGTGCGCAGATGAGCCTAGCAAAAGATTCAGAAGTCTGGGTAACGTTTGACCAAGCGAAGAATCTTTGTCACAACCCAGAGATTTTCACAGTCAATTTTTCTGAGAGATTTCATCTCACAATGATCATGATGCCCTTTTCTCAGATAGCTTGCTAATCAGCTTTTATATTAGCCATCTCTGCATTCATTCACATGTACATACCCAATAAAACATCTGACTAATGATTTTTAAATGTTATACTTATATTCATTGTAGCATTATTTATAAAGCAAAAAAATCAAAGGCTCATCAATAAAGGCTCAGTCACATAATTGAATACCATGAAACCATTAAAAATGTTATGGAAGAATTTCTAAAACTATGAAATTGCAATACATTGTTAGGTCAGATTGTTCCCATATAGCATAATCTCTATATATGTCCTGTATATTCACAGAGTGAGAAAAGACATCAGGATGTTAACAGTGGTTACTCCTTGTGGTGAAATGAAAAATGATTTTAAATGTCTTCTGATAGCTGTAGTTTCTAAATTTCCTACAATATGAAGGCATTTCTTTATAATGCGAAAATGTTAAGTTATTAAAGATAAAACAAAAGAATCTTCATGTCTAATTAAATAGGCATTTTATCATAGGTGATTTTATCTCTATTTTTAGCCAGTTGAGTACATTAAATGAGAAGTAACGGTCTAGACTTGCAGGCAGATTACACAAAAAGATTTCATTGAATATTCTTTACCTGCTTTTAAAAAATGAAGAATATTTGAAGTATCTTCAAAACATACTAGAAGTTTTCTATAACATTTTCCTTGGGTTCTCACCATATTGGGCTTACAGGGGAAAAAAAGTTTTTTTAAAAAATTCAATTTCTATACAATTAATATAAAAGGATAAAAAATAAAACTATCATCTACTTAAACAGTACACTGTATTAGCCATGGCAGTTGCTCATAAATGCTGGGATTGAGATTAAAGTTGATTTAACAAGTGTTTCTTGAGTACCTACTAATGAAAGGGGCAGCTATAGGCGCTGGAGGTACAATGACGGATCGTACGGTCCCTGCCTACCAGAAACAGGGCAAACATGCAAACAATAATCCAATAATCACAACACTGGTCAAGTGCAGCAACGTAAAAGGGATGTTCTCTGCCTGCATTAGTTATGGAAGGAATTACAGAGAAGGTGAAATATAAACTGGTACTTGAATAATAAGTACTTCATCAAGATAAAAAAGTGAACAAGGTTTCTAGTCTGGATAACCAGATAGATAATAAGGAGATTAACCATGATATGGGATAGAAAAGAAATAATTTGGGGTGAAGATGTGATTCTATTTTGGTTGTGGCAAGTCCGAGATTCCTATGGAAATGGAGATGGACCCATCTAGTAAGAAATTAGTTCATAGCAGCTAGAGCTCAAGAGGGTAGGGGTTGTAGGTTAAAATTTAAATAGTGGGAGTCATCAGCATATAAACAGCTATTAAAATTACTAGGGTAAATGAGACCCCTTGCTGGGAGAAGATCCAACATTCAAGGAGAAGGAGGCCAGAGAAGAGCTGGCAAAAAAATGACTGAGGCTAAAGAGCTGATGACAGAGGAGGAATGTTGTTCAGGGGATCAGATGGGTGTAAAATGCCAAAGAAAGGGCAAAAAGCCTGAAAATGCTGACTAGTTTGGCAAACAGAAA